CTAGAAGGTGCTGTAGAAGGAGCATCTGGAGCTGGACTTGAAGTTGTTGCAGGAGGAGTATCTGGAGCTACAGGAGAAGTTGCAGTAGAAGGAGTGTCTGGAGCTGGAGTAGAAGCATCTGTTGGTACCAAAGGCCTACGAACGTGAAACGCATTAAACCCACTGCTCCTTATAGAAGAGAATGAAGTCGACATACGGTTCAGTAGGGTCATCCCAGCCCTTCCCAGTGCATCCTGCACTGGCAGCATAATCGCAAACATCACTAGACGGATTGAAGTTCAAAGTAGCTGGACAAGAGAACTCGTAGGCAATTCCATTGGCGCAACTCCAGTACTTCGTGCAATCATCGTCGGCAAAGAAGGCACCGTTAGTGGAACATGGAGCTGTAAACAAACATGTTTTCTTCTGATTACTTCAAGTACTGCTGTCGCGATTACACGCACAAATTCGTCAAAAATGATCAAATAATATGCGTTTCAGGGACGTGTTGATAAGTACTTGTTTTCGAGTAGGTTGCCGCGACTTTTCAGCGTTTTTGAACAGGAAAAGCAGAATTTTGACTGTTAGAGTGTCAGTTGATGAGCAATACTCACGGGCTGGCGATGATAGCACGCTAATAGCGCACGTTGTAATTAGTAGCACAAATGACCACTGCATTGTATCGGTCGCGTTTTTTCCGTATAACAATGTGGTTGTTCACTGGGGCCCGGTTATTTATACCACACTTTCAACCCCACTTGATAAAAGACACTTCAGATATATTGGAAAAAAATTGATACGGAATTTTTCTAGAACAATGGCCGGTCCATGGCGCGCTACTTTTCTGGGATAACCAACCTGATCGATAACATTTTTGGGGTTTTACTTGCTTCTTTTGGGGTTTCAACATTTTTCCTTGTAATTTATATGCACTTTATTGAAAACTATGCACTGCGTTAAGTTGCAGCTGCAGCCTGGATTTATCTCATTGAATTTAGGGAGTTTAACAGGGTGAAATTGAAGCTCATCTGGTAAAATCCCACTAAACCAAAACATTTGCTGGTTTTTCATTGTAAAACGTTTGACTTGCAGTGCTTTATCTCATCGGATTTGTTTTAAGCTGGCTGTTATTATTGCACGTATTGGGAAACATTCAAAGGTCGTTTTTTGGGTTTTTCACACTGAACAGTAGCATATTAATTAAAATTTGTCGAACATTGTCGAAAAACCGACCAGTTTCCAACAATGTCTTCAATGAAAAGTTCACTTGATTACAAGTGTTTTACAGATGGTTTTTATGACCGCTTTCAGGGGCAGCTTTGAGAAGGCAGGAAAACCGAACGCTCATGTTTCATAAGCGAAATTTAAAAATTTGCCAAAAATGAAGGAAGCGTTTGTTTGCATCGAAACTTTCGGGATTTATAAGCTGATGTGTCTTTTATCATACCTGAAAATTTTAAGTGGCTGCTTGCTCCCGCTTGCATCCGAGGCACTTAAGAAGGCAACGTGCCGAATGGAAAACCGCCAAGTTTCTAGGGCGGTTTTTGAATCGTTGCCCAAAATTCACCTGCGATTGGTTTACAGCCAAACTCTCACACTTTATCGGCTTAAGTTTTCTCTATCAATTGTGAAAATTTCAACCTTTTTTATTTTCCTGTTTAAGCAGGCTTGAATGTGAGGCATTTAAAAAGGCAGACATGTCGAATGGAAAACAGTCTAATTTCTAGGCATATTTTGGAAAATTGTCAGAAATCGAGCTGGGGTGCATTTCGAACAAAACTCTTCAGATTCATAGATTTAACCTTCTTGTATAACGGGTGAGAATTTCAAGTCGCTACTGGTTCACGTTTAAAAGTAAGCCGTTTGGGAGTAGAGGCCTGCTAAATGAAACACACTCTAGTTTTTAGGCATATTTTGAAAAATTGTAAAAAATCGAGCTGGCA